TGCGGATGTCGCTTATTATTGTTGGCCTTGAGTCACATGTGATAACTTATATTCTACAAACAACGGAATGGCTGTGGCAGCAAAATTGCAAAAATGCAGCAACAACTTTATGCATTCGATTTAAGAATCTTTGAAAATACATTTATTTATTTTTTTTTGCCCAGAAAGGCGGAAAACAACCATTGTCAGATAAGTCAGTACAAGCTGCAGTAGAAAATTGAAAAATGAACAAAATATGTAAACAAATCGAAAAAAGCATTTGAACTTTATCTGCAACTTCAACCTGCAGTAGATTTATGTTTCAACACACACTTAGTAAGCAATGTTGGAAAAATGGAAACAAGCGATTGTGGCTGTTATTGAATGCATAATCGCACACGTTTTAAGTTGTTGCTTACAAACAGGCGCATGCACTTCAATGCTGTGGAAAACAAAAACCAATACGCGAACAATTTGGATTACCTAAGTTCATACATACTTATGTATGTGTTTATTGTGTATTTGTTGTTTGTTGTATATTGTGGAAGCGTGCACAATGCGTGCAGATTTAATACGAGTTCGTTGCATGCTAACAACTACCGTTAGCAATCGACTTAGTAGCAACGAGATAACGAGTTCTCAGTGTAGTCGAGCGTAGCACACTTTCAATTGAGCGAACGCAGCTTTGTTTTTTCCGATTTCTTTTTATATTTTTTTTTGTTACTATTTGTGAGTATTGCATTGTACTCGGCATCTAGAATGTATAACGCAGCAAATATTTGCTTGCGGCAGATTAGGTGGCGTAGACATGCACATACCGAAATGAATACTATCCGCTTTTCCTTACTCGAACATATAATGTTGATATGCAGTAATGGTAATTGTACTAGTATGTTTATGGTAATGATATTGTTAACGGTAATGCCAATACTTAGTAATGGTTGTGGTAATGGTAAAAGTAATGCCTATGTTATTGGGTATCGTTATATAATGAGAAGGGTAATAGTAATGTCAATGTTAATGTTAATGTTAATGTTAATGTTAATGTTAATGTTAATGT